CCTAATTAAAGTTAGACAGAAAGTTAAATAAGCTCTTGAATGAGATTATGTTAATGTGATTTGTGTGGTGTGGAAACCATGCTTATCTCCGACAAAATTTGATGAAAAAAAGGGATAGTCAAATTTTTCGAGTACAGTTTTACATTAAAAATGATATCAAAATAATTCCATTGAAGAGTTTTTTTCATTTTTCGTCTATCTTTAATAATTCTCGATATATCAGCATGGACATATTAATTGAACAGAAATCGGTATTTACTCAACGATAATAATTTTGCAAAATTCATTGCGATCGTAATGTCAAAGATGAACCCTTAACATCAAAGGTCATTTACGTATTGGGATTTCGTATATTTAAATAACAACAAATGAAGAGCGAAGTAAGAGTCAACGCATTCCGTAAAAAGACATAATTAAAGACATAAATTAAAAGTATAGAAAAGATAAAAAAAGAAGAAAAGATGTATACTAAGAAATAATAATGGTGAAAGGTAAACATTACAAGTTTCGGCTACCGGATTGAACCCTCTTCAGATGTTAACATAATGGAAATAGAGTAAAAAATAATTGTCGCAAAAGTTCACAGATTAAGAATACACGCAGTTCGATTGAGTCTCGATGTAGAACTCGACATTATTCGTACGATTGAACAGTCAAAACAGTGTCATGTCTCATAGCAAAGTTCAGCAAACATATGTAAAAGATCAGAACTAATGTATCTATATAAGTATAACAAATAGTATAAAAACATAAAGAAGGATGGAATGCAGATGTGACAAAACGGACATTGTATCGACCAATGTGACCGCTCGCTGAAACGAATCGCCACGCACCTTAGTATACAATACATCTTTTCTTCTTTTTTTACATTTTCTATACTTTTAATTTATGTATTTAATTACATGTCATTTTACGGAATGCGTTGACTCTTACTTCGCCCTTCATTTGTTGTTATTTATTTTATATATGAAGAGTCCTTGTATTTTTGTTATTTATTTCGTACATTTGTTAATTAGAGAAGTAAAATTGATTATTTTTAATTAAAGAGAGAATAATAAAAAAATAATTTCTTTTAATTCCAGACATGTTCGGCGAAGCTGTCATAACTAACTGCGAAAAATGTACCGAAACTCAAAAAGAATGGCTGAAGAAGATAGTAAAGTGGTATGCAAAGAA